CTTTACCACGAACATTATTCACAACATATCTCAAACACCCAAAAACACGTACTTCATCATAAGAAGGGGGTTTTCCAAACAAACATTCATGAGGGGTTTTCCCACCTAAAATAGGAGTGGGAGTCAAATTAATAAGGTGAACGGCGGCCAAAACACATTCTCCCCAAAAATACTTAGGCAATTTAGCTTGAAAACGTAAAGCGCGAGCAACATTCAAAATATGCTTATGTTTCCTTTCAACACGACCATTTTGTTGAGCGGTATCTACACATGAGGTTTGATGTATTACTCCTTTTTTTATCAAAAAAAGGTCTCAAACACAAAAACTCTTGCCCATTATCACTTTGTAAGACTTTAATCTTTTTATTAAATTGAGTTTTGATTAAAGCATAAAAATCACGAATTATTTTCCCTACTTCATGTTTACCAACCATCATACTTGCATCTGGAACACCAACCAAATTTGCTTGACAAACACGAGCACGAACCGGCCGGAAAAATAGACCCCATTACACTGCACCCCCGCTCCAATCAGGTTCTCCAAAGTGCGGTCCTGAATAGTACATAGCTTGTTAGTGAATAGAACAATAAATTTTTGCTTTTCTAATAATTGAGACACTGACAACAAATTACAATTTAATTCGGGAACAAACAAAACATCCTCTAAAAATCAAATCATCACTCAAAATAATTTTGCCTTCTTTTGTGGCCATAGTACTTTTCCCGTTAGGCAAACCAACAGGAGTTTTAATGTCACGCAAATTAGAAAACAAACTCAAGTTACCAGACATGTGGTTTGAAGCCCCTGTATCAATTATCCACTCATTTAAATAAGACGTACCGTGAGATTTAGCATCTGTCAAGGAAGTAGTGGAATTACTTCCCTTTATAGCATTTAAAAATTGTGCCCACTGATCATCAGTAAGTGTTGGAGCAGAACCACGATCCTCGGCATTCACCTCCTGCCCACTGCTTTGCCGAGAGCTGCTGTTTACATTGCCAGCGAACCCATGTCCACTAGAGTCCGCTGTACGACCACCGCGATTGCTGCGACCACCTCCACGGCCAGACCTGCCACCACGCTGACCTCCATGCCCACCAGAATTGAAAGATTCGGGCCAGCCATTTAAATCAAAGCACTTCTCCTTAACATGACCTTTTTTCCCACAATGGTCACACACACGAACTTCACCACTACTACCACTCGACCAAGCAGCCCTGCCTTGAGCAGAACCCGAGGCCGCAAACCCCACAGCCTCCGATCGCGAGTCTTGAGAATCAGAAACAGTCTGTTTTCTCTCATCCGACACTACTTTCGCGTAAGCCACGTTTAATGACGGAATTGGGTCCATCATAAGAAGGGTCGACACAATACTCCCAAACTTTTTGGGTTCTAAATCAATACAAAATTGGTGAAGTAATTCACTTTCAAGAATCTTGGCATATTGAGAAGCAGCATCACACGTACACTTAGGGAACTTACAATAACTTGCTAATTCATCTTGTAGCTTCCTCAATTCACCAAAATACACGGCCACCGGCCTACCACGTTGCTTGCAATCCACAATTTGAGCCTTCAACTCAAGAATACGAGGACCATTGCCAAGGGAATATCTATCACGTAGATCATCCCATACAGATTTGACATGGTCGGGAAAACGAACCGTAGAACGTACTGAAACATCCAAGGTATTCACAATCCAAGCAACGAACATAGAATTAACGACACCCCATTGATCCAAATCCGGAGACTCCTTGCCCGACACCGTAATAGTGCCATCAATAAAACCAAGTTTGTTCTTAGCACGAAGATTATTTCGCAAAGAACGAGACCACTCCTCATAGTTATCTCCTTTGAGCATAATTGGGCTAATCACAGCCCCTGTACCCTCACTTGGATGGAGATAATAAGCAGAAAATGGCTCATAACGAGGGGCCTTGGGAACATCATCACCACCTGGCATCATTACTCAATAGACGAACAACCACAAAGCGGAAGCACGACCAGGAACAAAACAGAAAAGGAAAAAAAAAATCAAGAAGAACAAAGAACTAGATTTTGTGTTTAGGAAGAAATTGGAAGAAATTAAAGAACGTAAAAATTCTCTAAATTAGAGGGCTCTTGATACCATGTTAAACTCACAATAATTATAGGAGAAAACGGCTTAATGAGCCTTTACCATTAAACACATATATATATAGGCTTACAACATTAACCTAACATGCAAAAAACTCCTAACAAGATATATACAAATATATTCACAAAATATATCTTACTTAACATAATTATATCCTAACATTAGTCAAAAGCTGCAAGAGATAATTCCAATCACCAACATAGTATCCCAAGGTTTTATAAAGGTCAAGTGATTCCTTCACTAGGCTACCAAACCAAAAGCAAACTCTCTCATTACGATTGTTGAGGCATGCGTACGGTAGAGATGACAATCAAGCTAAGTTCAAGTCAAGTCAATTTGGGTAAGAACTATTCCTGCAAAGTTTGGATTTGGTTATTTGAGTTGAGTTTTTTTTATTCTATTATTAATGTGCTTATTTGAATCATTAGAAACATTGATTATTGTCTCAGGTCGAGTCAAGGAGAAATACTGATTTTGAGTAGAGATCGGGTTTCAAATTGATAGTCGAGTATATGGATCAATTTTGTCAGGGTCATTTATGTTGGTGTTGGACACAACAACAAAATAAGGGATTAATAAATGTAAAAAAAAAAAAAAACAAATAATTAAGATCATAATAATGTAATAAAATAAATAAATAATAAATAAATTGATTTAATAATCCAACCTTTGTCCTATTTATTTTTCTAATAATAAGCTAATCTTCTGATTATTGTATAATAATCCAACCTTTATCACCCATTCTATATTTTTAAGGCTAAATTAGTCACCAACCCACAAAATTAATTATAATAATCAAAATTATGAATTATTAATTATAAATGGGAAAGGATTAAGGATAGATTATTAAAATCAAAATTTCCAAAAAAAATCATAAAAACAATAAAAGGTACAAAAATTAGAACGATTTCCCTAGAAATTGTTTAAATAAAAATTAATTCCCAATTTGCATCGTTTAAAAAACTTATTCCCTGAATAGTGTCCACGTAGGATCGGGTATAATATTAGCTTTGTATTTTTTTTTAAGGGTAAAACCGCAATCGATGACAGCGGTTATACAAACTAGTTCTTACACACGTATTTTACCGCATCTGACATCTCCCCCCTGTCCGAGTGTCTTCCACTCTTCCTATTTCTCTCTCCTCAATTTTCACTGTTGTTTTGTTTTTTCATTTCAAACCTTTTCTTTCTTCTTAGATCTTCTCACTCTTCTTTCTCTCTCTAAAACACCAGTTTTTATTTGTAATTGTATTTTCTTCAAAAAAAAATTGTAATTTTGTATTGATTTTCTTAGTAATTTCGTACAATTAAAAATTTTGGGTGATTTTATTTTGATATAATCTCACTATTTTTTGGGTAATTTTGTTTTGATTTAATCATTTGAAACACAAGTTTATTAAGAGTATAAAGACGTTGAAACCAAAGCCGACTTATGATGAAATTGAAGATGAAGATGATGTTGAACTTGAGTAGAGTAGAAGATGACGGAATTCATGGATGAAGTTGAGAGCTTGGACGCCATTGAAATTGCTGCGATTTAATATCACTATTTTTTGGGCAATTTCATACAATTATGAATTCTTTTTTTTTTTTTACTTCATGTTTTAATTTTAGGGAAATATCTCAACATCAACCTCAAGAACTTCAAACAATTTTGCAGAAAGAACATAAAACCGTTGCCAACAATTGCGGTTTTGCAAATGTAAAACCGCTATCACCAATTGCGGTTTTAAACCGAACCCAAAAAAAAAAAAAAAAGCTAATACCCGATCCTACGTGGACACTATTCAGGGAATAAGTTTTTTAAACGACCCAAATTAGGAATTAATTTTGATTTAAACAATATCTAGGGAAATCGTTCCAAAAATTAAATAGAATTTATTAACTATTACAAAAACAGAAGTTGCTGACATCACCATTGCCCACGTGTCGCTTTCTCAATAAAAAATTTCCCACCTAAATACAATGATGATGTCATTTTTTTTTGTAAAGCTATCATATTTAACATTTTTGAAATTTAAATATTGGAAGTTTCCACATTACAACTAAAATCTATCAATTTATCGTAGAAAATTGAAACAATTTTAAATAGTACACTAACAAATGATCTCCTACATTGAACTATGAATTAGACAATGTTGAACATATACTATATCATAATTTTGATTAAAATAAAATTTTAAATATATAAAATACACGTAATTCTTATTTATATTCATGTATTAGCGATTTATATTTAAAATGTACAAACTAAAAATAGGCTTTATATAAACCGTGCATGGGTTCTAACCTAGTGACTAATAGTCTAATACAGTAATGAGTTGGATAGCGGAATAAAAAAAAAAAAGAAAAAAAAAGAAAAAAAAAAAGTAATGAGTTAGATAGCAAGCCATCAAGCCCATCAACTATCAACCATCAAGTCCATAACAATTTATGGCCCAAGCCCATGGTCCATCCATTTTCAGGTCCTACCAATCTAGCATTATAACAAGTCATAAGCATAAAAAGACAACTGCAACTCAGCTTGTTAACTACTCCGTAGCAATCTAGAGTTTGTTAATTTTTATATGCTTATATAAATTTTTTTTTTTTTTAAATTTATAATTACAGATTCTACATTAAAGCTAAGGCAATTAATTTCAATTATACACTCGAGTGTATCATGCACATTAATAGGTATATCATGCACATTAATACACAATGCACCCATGCTATGAGCATATATTGCTCTCCAAGTGAGCCAAATAAACCAAAATATGCTGTGAGACACTCATCATTAGGGTTTAAGATGGCACATACAACCAACATTGGTGTTGAAATTGTTCAAAAACGGATTGTCAAACTTGTCCATAATATTGCACATACATAGATACAAATTCATCTTATGATTGTTGGCGTTATATACAACAATGCTGAAATCACATACACAAGTACAACAACACTATACATCAAAAAATAAGAACAAAAGAAAGTGAATATAATAATTGAAGAAATTTGCATTCAAGCTCAACTAGCTACTGCAGTTAACTTCTTGTTGTTGGCTCTTCAATATGAGCTTGTGTGTCGCGCCATCTATGATGCTCAAGGTTGTTGTACAATCGTCTCTTAGGATTAGATAAAAACTCTTCCCTGAATTAGATCTTCAAATACGAAGCATCAACGAACACTACCAAGTAGTGAATAATATATAGATCTATGTAGGAACATCAATCCAAAAATCCATGGTCTTCCCATCATATTTAAAGCTCCACGGCCAAACAGTTATGAGTATGTTTTTTTTTTTTTTTTTTGAAAGAAAACAGTTATGAATAATATATACACATATGGTTAATTAGCAGCATGTGAATTATATCTAAAACTCGTTTAATTACATAAACATAAGGTAAACATGATCACCTCGTATCATATCTTGAAACTCATATATATACAAGCGTAAAATTACTAACACCCAGAAAACAGTTCTTTGTATTTGAAATGAGATACATGCTTTCATGCCCAGAAAATCGTGGCAAGTACATTTGAAATATCTCCATTGTCTCCCAACATACTAAAGCAAGAAAACACAACCAAATAGTTTACCACCCTCCCTCAACCCCAGAAAAAAGAGGGGAACAACGATGATCCAGAAGATTAGCTTAAATCAAACCTCGAGTTACCTACCAAAAACAAGAAAAGGAAAATGCTGCTTACAAAAAACCTTCATTTACACTAGGGGTGAATAACCAAATGCTTCAAACGCTCTATAAGGACCATGCATAAACTTGTTCTTCATTATGCAGATTCTTCCACTGCAAAATTTCCCCAAATGTCTTGACGTTAGTTCAGTATACCATAACATTTAATAAGCCTAAGTACCTAACTCTCATTTTCTTCCACTCAATGAGCAATATATCTAGAATGGTTTCTTGAAATTCACCATATCGTCTTAATCTTGACCTTAGATTTTGGAGACAATGATCAATTAAATCATTATCATACCATGATGAGACGACTAATTGGAGAAGGGAGGTGGGGAGGAAAGTGCATTGTCAAATTTAAAACAAGAAAGAAAATTTTTTACAAAACTGAACAGGGAAGGTAAAAGTGAATGTTAGTTTACCTGCTTCAGCCGGACGTTCACCCTTTTTCATGTTCTCATTTTCGATGCACTTGAGGAGATACTTGAAGATCTCGATATCACAAGGAATGGTAAGAGCACCACCATGATCAAATCCAAACTCTTCCTCAGCCTTTTCAAGGAGTACTTTGAAAAGATGATGGCTAAGATAATCAGTAGGGATGATGAACCTTCGAAGCTCTGACCCTACGTAAACCGCCAGATATCCCTTGGGAACATCAGGAGGTGGTTCAGGGCTGGGACATCCTTCTTCATCTGAATCGCATCCAATGGCTGAACTTTTCAACCGCTTAGTTACTTCAGGTGCGATTCCTGCGTGGTGAAGATGATCATCTTGGTCAGGCTGTCTTGAGTTCAGAGTGACATTTTGCCATTTTTGGAGGAGTTCTTTCAGCCTTACAATTTGTCTAATCCCACCCAACTTGCCATTTCCTTGTTCGTCCATGGCCTTATGCTTGTAAATACAGCTTTTGATTTGTTTCTCCCTCGGTTGATATCAGCATGTACAATTCCTGATGACTAGCATCATCAGATTGTCCACTACATGCAAAACAGAATAATACTTGGTCAAACAACTGAGATAAACAATTTGCATAATGCTTTCCCGAGATCAGTGCATAATGTAATGCTAAAGTAATGTTATAGAACCAAACTAGAAGTGTCAATCAACTAAAGATCAATTAGGTAAAATGTAACATCTAGTCACTTAATAAAGTGACAGCACACCATTTGCACTGACCTCAGAGCAAATCCCTTATATGAATTGAGCTAGAGAATCATGTCAATTGGGAAACTTGCAGCTCGGCTTATCACTCACTTTCTCTGTCTCTTACAGATTTTAAGAACTTGAACTACGCTGACAGGACATATAAGATCTCTTCACTGCAAGAGGCGAACAAAATGCCAAAAAAAAAAGAGAGATTTTGAGGGTCAGCTAGAAGAGGAACTAATTTTACAAAGGATGTTAAATGACTCAATTCTCAGAAATGCCCCAAGTTGATTATGACAGATATCGAGGAATAGATAGGAACATCAAAGTATCACAAAGTTGAAATCCATTGATAAGAATGCACAATTTTGACGAGTTAAATGAACTTCATATTGTATTTATGTGCATCAGCTTCAGCTTCAAATCCAATGACTCAATATCCCAAATATGACTCCTTTTTTCACACCCTTTTTTTTTGTTAGTATTATCATAGAAATGTGATATTAGTATTGTAAAACAGAATTTAAAAGGGAAACTAAATAATATCCCCTCCGTTCCTTATATTCTTTACGTATTAACTTTTATGGACTATAAAAAACTCACTATTATAACTCATCAACGTGGGATCTTGCTATTAGCAGATTCAGCTTGAAATATTTCCAATATATCGATTATTTAGAATTTTACTCATATCTTATTGATGATAATCACGGTCAAAGATGTGTATAGAAAGCCGAAATATTTAAAATGTTAAGAACTATTACTCGAGTAAAAACTTCTAGCATCACTCTCAGGTCTCTAACACTGATCCACATGCATCGAACTACCATCATATCTCATCATCTCCGATTATTAATTTATATTTGGTCCTTTCATTCTTAAGCATCTACATTCCTAATACCTATAACAAAATGTTTGTACTACAATACGACGGATTTTTTTAGCATTCTGTAGTAAAGCAGTATTAATGATACTCCATAGCATAATCAAACAAACCTAGAGCCCAATAATAGAGTCATGGAATTAGAAGCAACACAATCAAATTGAATCAATCACCTAGAGTCCAGAGATATTATTCCAATATTGCACACATGGCAAAGAGATACGATCCATTCCTCATTTTCACATAATTATGGCAAGATATATTATTATGATCATGATCATGATCAATAATAACAAATCAAAATATGATCTCCAAAAAAAATATTTGAAAAAAATAATAATTCAAATGGTCATGTATAGATCCAGCAACAATTAACTACACATGATTGTGACAAATTTAATTGGTTTACAGATCTAGCATGCATGTGCTTAACAAATTAACAATCAAATTTATCAAACTAAACCAATTAAGTCAGACATTATTATAGCATAAAATTATTTTAGCAAAATAAATAAATAAATATTGTGAAATTAAGCAACCCAATTTGATCAATTCTGCTAAATAATTCCAAAATTTCAGCATAAATATAAATAAATAAATAAAAAAACCAAAATTCTAAATGTATTGCACCCATTTCATCGAATTTCCAACGCTAATTTTACATAAAACTTAAATATTAATTTATTTATTTTTTTTGACGCCACAAAACTCATTTATTTAAATGCATGTAACAACCCCAGGTCATAAATTTGAGAAATAATTTCTACATTCAATTGCAAAACTGAAATATTATGAAAAACCCAGAAATCTAAATGCATATTAAATCAAACCCATTTCATCAAATTCCCAAACAATTGCTACATTACATTACAAATTGTAAAGCAAAATGCAAAACCCAGAATTTAAAATGCAAACCAATTTAAACCCAGCTAATCAAATTTAGTATGAAACTCAAAATTCTATGAAAAAAATTATAAATTATAATGGAAAAAGAAATAAAATACCTGGAAATGTTGTTGGGAGAAGGCATGCATTCAGCTGTGACAGATAATGGAGATTTGAGAGATAAAATTGACAGAAAAGATAAAATAAACCCAAAAAAAAATGGCAAGTAGTATTAATTAGAAAAAACAGAGCATTTTCCCAAATTAAGTAATTTGTGGAAAATAATTAAAAGAAATTAATGAAAAAAATATGTGAGGTAGGAAATTATTAATTTGGAGAGAGAAAATCGGGGAGAATAAGCACTAAGAGATGCGAAACTGTTGGACGTTGGAGAAATTTTTGCAATGATGAAAAAGTTAGTTGTTATAATTATACTCAATTTCAAGCAAAGGTGACAATAGCTACCTTTTTTTGGGTACACTTGTATATTGTTGCACCTTATAATATAATTTTCCCGTTTAAGTACTCCATATTTTAATAAAAATACTACCTCCGGGTTATGTGCAACGATTTGACATAAAGCAAAGAGGAAAAATGTCTAATCGTTGTACATAACTTGTAACGGAGGTAGTATTGCAACTTTTTACACTATTTATCTAGTAATTTACACGGAGTAGTGTATAAGAAAAAATATAGTCATGTGTGAGTCTATATTGAAATCGTCTTAATAAATATTATATTAATATCATTGTAAAAGTTTTACATTACATACGTGAGATGGAACAACAACTTTTTGGTGCAGCAGGCCATTCCATGCGGCAGGGGTTACCCAAATTTTTTTGTCAAGGGTTACTTGAGTTACTCGGACAAAGGTTACTTAAGGGGATCGGTCATGGGTTTCTCGAGTTACTCGATCATGGGGTACTCAAGTTACCGGATTAAGGGTTACTTGAGTTACTCGGTTAGTGGTTACTCGAGAAATTACTCCGTCATAGGTTACTTGACTTACTCGGTGAGGGGTTACTCGACTTACTCGATCAGGGGTTATTTAAGGAGTTTGGTCAGGGGTTACTCAAGTAATTCGGTTTGGGGTTACTAAGGAGTTCGGTCAGGGCCTCAGGATTACTTGAGAGTTCAATCAGGGGTTAATGAGGGGTTACTCAATCAGGAGCTACTAGTGAAATTACTCGGTTAGGAGTTAGTTGAGGGGTTAGGTCATGAATTACTCAAGGGGTTACTCGGTCAGGAGTGACTCAAGTAATAAACCCTGACCGAGTAACTTGATTAACCCCAAAAACTCGAGTAACCCCTAAGTCCCTGACCGCGTAACTCGAGTAGTAATCTGTAACCAAGAAACTCGAGTAACCCCCGACTGAGAAACTCGAGTAACCCCTGATCGAGAAACTCGAGTAATCTTGGCAACTCGAGTAACCTCGGCAACTCGAGAAACTCAAGTAACCCTGACAACTCGAGTAACCTCGGCAACTCGAGAAACTCAAGTAACCCTGACAACTCGAGTAACCTCGACAACTCGAGAAACTCAAGTAACCCTGACAACTCGAGTAACCTTGACCGAGAAACTCGAATAACCCCGGGTAAATTTGATGGTAATTTGTATTATACTTCTCCAAACGATTTTGATAAAGATTATTCGAGCTGCATACATCCAACCCCGCTTTACTTTGACGTTTTAAATCCAACCTAGGATCTCATATGTCATATCATATATGTGAGTAGGGTTGGGCAAAATTATCCGAAAAATTAGGACACCTGATCCGATAACCATATAATAGTTTGGGGATCCGATCCAATAATTTATAATCGGATATGATTAAAGTAGGTAGAACGACCTAAAATGAAAAGTAGAAAAAAAAAAATGATTCATACTCACGTCAATCAAAGACTGGTTTTGAATTGGACTAACATTGTAATCATGGGCCAAAGACTGTACAACCCACAATACCATACTGGTGGTGTTGGATGTGATCTTACAATGAAAAATCATCTTCCAACCTCATAATCATGTTTTACTTGAAAGCATAAATTGTATTTTACGAAGCATTTAATTATTTTCTTTCCGACTCCATCTAACATAAAGTACATGGGCGCGTTGTCTATCATACATATATCATACGGAGTACATACATACGGATGTAAAATTACTCACTATCATATTACCCAGCAAAGCAAATGTAGTTTACACTAGCTAGTCTTACTACGTACATCACATTATCTATCATTCTTCGCTCTCAAATTGTTGCTTTCACTAGCTACTCTTACATCACATTAGCTAGAGTATAGGAATAATGAGAATGAGGTAATTAAATGAGATTATGAGAATGTAAATCATTGAAAATACTCAACAGGACCAAGAGTTGGATTTTATGAAGATATAGTGATACGAAATACTTTTTTTTTTTTTTTTTTGTTTTTTTGAGGAAAGATACGAAATACTTTTTAAACATACTTATTAACTATTTGAAAATTGGAATAATAGCGCTATGAATAATGTAATTTGAACTATTAATATGATAATTAAGTCAAAACAAATGTTACATATGAAATAACCACAGTTGTAAAGTTTAAAAAATTAAAATTAAAATTTTCAAATATTGCCAACCCAAAATACAACTTAAATTGTTTTAAAATAATGTACCTTTGATATATATATTTTTTTTAATTTTTTTATTTTATTTTAATTATTTTATTTATTTATTTATTTTAGTTTATTTATTTATTTATTCTTTTTTTTTTTTTTTTTTTTTTTTTTTTGTGAAGACATCAATTGCTGGAATATAATTAGTAATACAAAAATATTAAGAGAAATACATGGTACTATGGTAGAATAGATATACATGAGGACTTGTGATTATCAGACACAACTGTTAATTTTATCAGATTCTTCATTAACACAAAAATATAGGAGTTTTACAGATTATTTTTACCTTAAATAGCTCAAGTCTAATACTATTTCACAAATTAGCTAAGAATTTTAGGTGGCAATCGTATAAATAACTAAACTAGTAATTAGAACAATTAAACCAACTTTCTGTATAATTTTCTTTGCAACAAAACTTGAAATCTCTTCACTGCAGGACCTATTTGACATCTTTTTTTACAGGACCTATTTGATATCGCTTCACGGCATCAAATAGGTCCTGCACCATTTCACTGCATCAGATAGGTCCTGAACCAAATCTATCTATCAAATTAATCTCAATCTAATCGCGGTTACCATTTCCCTGCATCAAATAGGCCATGGATTACCTGAGTTTTGTGCTGTGCCTTCTACTAGCATGGGTTGTAATCAACCTCCTTTCAAATTTAAAGAGACGTAATCAATCGAAGCCTAGGATACTACCACCAGGTCCACCCAAAATACCCGTCTTTGGGAACCTCTTCAGCCTAGGCACAAACCCACATATTTCCGTGACTGAACTTGCCAAGACTTATGGCCCTCTCATGACTTTACAGCTTGGCCAAGTGACAACCGTGGTTGTTTCCTCGGTTGACTTGGCCAAAGAAGTGCTTCAAAAGAATGATATTTTCTTCTGCAACAGATTTGTTATTGATGCTTTTGATGCACTTAACCACCAACAAAGCTCACTGGCATTCATGCCAGTATGTCCTGCATGGCGAAAGCTTCGCAAAATCTCCAACTCTAAAGTATTTTCAGCCAGTAAACTTAACTCGAGCCAAAGTCTAAGGAAGAAAAAGGTGACAGACCTCCTTGACTACGTCCAAAAACAAAGTGAAGCTGGTTTGGCAGTGGACATTGGGCAAGTAGCATTCACCACCACCTTGAATTTGTTGTCGAACACAATATTTTCAGTGGATTTGGGTGATCCTAATTCAGGATATGCCGGTGGATTCAGAGAGACTGTACGAGGCATAATGGAGGAAATGGGGAAACCTAACTTTGCTGATTATTTCCCTCTGTTGAAGAAGATAGATCCACAAGGTATTAGACGGCGTCAAACTGTGAACTTTGGGAAGTTGATTGATCTATTTGAAACCATAATTGACCAACGATTGCAAGGCAAAAGACCACCAGGATCAACACCAGGCGACGATGTTTTGGATGCTTTACTAGGCATTAATCAAGAAAACTCTGAGGAATTAGAACTAGAAAAAATTCCACATCTTTTGCTGGTAGTCATTTGCACTAGTTGATTTAGACATTTATTTTTGCAGATCATCATCCCTGCATTACTTAAATACTTGATCTCTCTTGTCTGCAGGACTTGTTTGGTGCAGGAACTGATACAACATCGACTACCCTTGAATGGGCATTGGCAGAACTAATTCGCAACCCTGAAAAACTGACGAAAGCACAAGCAGAGCTCCAAGAAATCATAGGAAAAGGTAATCCAGTGGAGGAATCAGACATTGCACAGCTCCCATACTTGCAGGCCATTATCAAGGAAACCTTCAGGCTACACCCACCAACACCCTTTCTAGTACCGAGAAAAGTTGATGCAGATGTAAAGCTCTACGGTTACACAGTGCCTCAAAACGCACAAGTCCTGGTCAATGTATGGGCAATTGGAAGGGAACCAAATTTATGGGAGAACCCAAACTCTTTTGAGCCAGAGAGATTTATAGGATCTAAGATTGATGTAAAAAGTTGTGATTTCGAGCTGATTCCATTTGGTGCTGGTCGTAGGATATGTCCTGGATTGTCATTGGCTCATCGGATGATCCATTTGATGTTGGGGTCACTAATCCACAGTTTTGACTGGAAGCTAGAAGGAGGAATTCCACCCGAAAAAATGGATATGGAAGATAAATTTGGGATCACATTGGAAAAAGCTCAACGACTTCGTGTCATTCCAGCCCTTCGCAGCTAAGGGGAACTTTAGAGTTTAGAGTTTGCATCGCCTTATTGGAAAATATTCAGCGACTTCTTGTAAATTTTTGTTTACGTCTGAGTATGATAATATCATGTTAATAAACAAACACTTGATTCCAAATCTAGCAAATTTTCTAGCTTAATTCAACTCGCATATTAACAGAAGGCAGATTATTTGCAGATGGTAAAAAGCATGAATTAAAGACAAGCAATAAGATAGAGATCATATACTTGTAGTAATCTGTAATGATCCAGCTCCAGAAGTATTAACATGTCTAACTCAACCGCGCTGCAAGAATTAATACATGCCCGGTGAACAAAGTAACATATGAGATGGTTATACATGGAAAAATTGTCAGAAATTACCCATATCTAATACTCCCTTGACCCTTCATACAAAAAACTTTTCATTTTATTCTTACTGTTTGTCTTATAAAACATTTCTCATTCAAGTCTTGACTTGACTTTATTCGAATTGCATTCCAATAAAATTGTGATATTTTAATTGGGTTATTCTAAATTTTAACATGTGGATATTATTTTTCTGTCCTTGCAGTTTTTAGTTGATCTCCAACGGTATTTCTAACCAATTTTGTCCAGTTGCTAACATAAATTGTAGAACTGCAGTTATTTCAGCTTAGTGCAGTCATTTTCAACTATCATAACTCATTATAAGTGGGACTGGTGCAATATGAAATCAGTTTACAACCACATACTGATGATTTTTCACTGAAGCATATCTCTAAGATCTTAAAACACAAAACATTCCATGACTTAAATTCTCAAAATAATGTAGCATCTATTACCAATTGTGCATGAACAAAAAAGTTAAAAGAAGATTATATAGTATAGTTATAACTATGGACTACCTGAGTTTTGTGCTGTGTCTTCTACTATCATGGGCTGCTATCCACTTCCTCTTTTCAAATGTAAGGAAAAGTCGTGAATCGAATCCCAGGAACTTGCCACCAGGTCCTCCCACTCTACCCATCTTCGGGAATCTCTTCAGCCTCGGTGCAAAACTACATGTTTCTTTGGCTGAACTTGCCAAGAGTTATGGCCCTCTCATGACTCTGCAGCTCGGCCAAGTGACGACAGTGATCGTTTCCTCAGCTGCCATGGCAAAAGAAGTCCTTCAAAAGAATGACCTTCATCTCTCTAACAGGCCGGTCATTGATGCTGTTCGTGCACTCGACCACCATCATAATTCAATCATCTGGATGTCACTTTCACCTCTTTGGAGAAATCTACGAAAAATCACTAACTCTGAAGTTTTTTCTGCTCATAAACTTGACAGGAGCCAAGGTCTTCGAAGGGAAAAGGTAAGAGATCTCCTTAACTATGTCCGAAAGCAAAGTGAAGCAGGTTTGACAGTAGACATTGGGCAAGTAGCGTTCACCACCTCACTGAATTTGCTATCAAACAGCTTCTTTTCAATGGATTTGGGTGACCCCAAATCTGAAAATGCTTGCAATTTTAGAGACACTACGCGAGGTATAATGGAAGAATTGGGGAAACCCAACTTTGCTGATTATTTCCCTATTTTGAAAAAGATAGACCCCCAAGGCATCAGACGGCGTACAAGTCTACACTTTGGGAAGTTGATTGATTTCTTCAACATCATAATTGACCAACGATTGCAGGGCAAGAGACTACCAGGATCAACGATACAAGGCAATGATGTTCTGGATACCTTACTTGGCATCAGTCAAGAAAAATCTGAGGAATTACCACTATCAACAATTCCTCATCTGCTAATGGTAATCACCTACTCTTATTCATTAAAAGTTTTTGCTCAACATGTTCCTCCGCGTTATACAAAATCCTTGACATCTCTTTTCTGCAGAACCTGTTTGGTGCAGGAACTGACACAACATCGTCTACACTCGAATGGGCAATGGCAGAATTGCTTTGCAACCCAGAAAAGCTGAAGAAAGCACAAGCAGAGCTCCAAGAAACCATTGGAAAAGAAAACCCAGTTGAAGAATCTGATATGGCCAGGCTCCCATACTTGCAGGCCATTGTCAAAGAAACCTTAAGACTACACCCAGCAGCACCACTTCTGGTGCCAAGAAAAGCTGACTCGGATGTGAAGCTTTGTGGTTTTACCGTGCCAAAAGACACACAAGTGCTGGTCAATGTATGGGCAATTGGGAGAGATCCGGAGCTGTGGGAAAACCCAAACTCATTTGAGCCAGAGAGATTTATGGGGTCTGAAATTGATGTAAAAGGTCGTGATTTCGAGCTGATTCCATTTGGTGCAGGCCGTAGGATCTGCCCTGGGCTGCCACTGGCTATTCGTATGATCCATTTGATGCTGGGATCACTGATTCACAAGTTTGATTGGAGGCTGGAAGGAGGTACTCTGCCAGAGAAGATGGATATGGAGGAGAAGTTTGGGATCACATTGGAAAAAGCTCAGCGACTTCATGCAGTTCCAATGCTTCGCACCTGAAATTTTATAAGTTTTGGGATCAGCTTGGAAGATTCTCAGAAATTCCTTCACACTTCAGTTTGAGTGTGATAATCTCATTGTTAGTTTTTTTCTAAAAAAAAAAAAACACATTATTTCAATTCCAGCAAAATTTCTGTAGTTCTTTAACTTTGGTTATTATCCAGATGTTAATAAGAGTAATAGTTGCACAAAAGCACTAAATAATCACATGCTTCAAATCAAGGATGTCAAGAAACCTGATATAACATAATACTGGTCTTGATACTGAAATTAAAAAATAATCAAATCTATGGACCGGTGATAAAGAGGCAGAACAATTCAATTCTCACTCCATACATGCATGCAGCATTGAACCCACAGAAAAAAAGAAAGACAGAATCAACAGAATGATGACTATGGAGTATGACAGATTATTAAACTATATGATATTCTGAATATAGAATTAATATAAGCTCATTTCATCAAAACTCAAATTAATTTGACGAAATTGTCCAAAAAAAAAAACCAACTAAATTGATGAAAGAAGAGGGTGTTATCCTTATAAAAGTCTATATCACTATATACCTTCCATTTCATCGTGTAAAATAACTCTTTTCCCCAAATGATTCATCTTTCATTCACAGCTAAATCATTAGCTTCCTTAAGGCCCAAATAAGTAAAACTCTCATATTAGATTGAACTCGCGTAAGATTTCTGACTTACCTTTGTACTTCATGGACCATAGAAAAGAGGGAGAGAATAAAGTGGAAGGTCAATGCCAGAACTACAGCCTCCCAACATCTGTTTGTCATCATATTGTGGTGATTTTTTTTGGATTAAACTCTCAGACAGTACATCAAATGGCTGAGGTTTCCTTTTGACCTATTAGATAATCTATGTTATGATACAGAGTTGCCACTCCTCATCGAGCAACATTTTAAGACCTCAACATCGGCCAAAGCTGAAGTGCTGAGCAACATGCAAATGCAGTGAATTTTATCTGATTTTAAATGATGAAAACAAATAATTAGAAAATTCAAACTTGTTTCCCAATAAAATCATTCTTTTGCACACTACATAAAATCATTCACAAAACAACCATATCCAATAAACAGCAGAATACTTGTCAAAAAAAAAAAAAAAAAAAAAAAAAAAACAGCAGAATAAACCCAATCATTCTAAAACAAACCTCCACTCATAATTATTGAACAAGGTTTGAGTAACAAAAATTATAACCTTGGATGAAGAAAACAGAAAGGATGTGGCTGACATTGTAATTAAGGTAGATTATGTGGCTATGTGTCCTAAATTGTGGCTGTGACTAACATATATCCTAACAGGGTTTATAGGAATCACTGACGAAGAATGAAAAAAATTTAGTGAATTAAATGGTGAAACAGTATTCAACAGATGATAGAGCAAGAATTATATAATTATAAGCTACTAAACAAAGAAACAGATCATCAGTCATTGAAAACTGAAGGAAGGAGCAGCCAAAGAATAAACAAGTTATATTGTATAAATTAGAGGTTTTAGGTCACGCCAGAATTCTACTACAACTTCAGGTTATTTATTACAGACCAGGCGAAGAATCAGTTGAATTGAGTGGCAACAAGCTTATTAGTCATCTATCCCTCCCATTCCCCCCCCCCCCCCCCGCCCTCCCACTCACACCCTCTTAAATCTTTGCATGAAGTTCTTGTAATTTTTTACAAAACGGAAGAGTTTTAGTAACAATGAAATAGTCTTAGAAAAAGAACATATCAATTCAGTGTTGTAATCTTGTATAACAACAGGCAACCCGGTATAATAGTTATAGCTAGGTACACATACAATAATTATTTTTTGAAAAAATAAATAAATACATATATAGAACAGCAATACAAGCAATTCCAATAATTAAAAAACAAAAAATTGCTAACATAAGAGTTCTCCTCCTAGCTATCAAAGTTACTGACTTCAAATCTGGGTTCATCACTTGATCAAACAGCAGCTAGCATCAATACAACTTCATTACAAAAGTAAGTTTTATATTTATTTTCTACCCCATTACTATTGACGAGGGAGATACTAATGACTTACCGACGAAAAATTTGAAATTGCGGGCAGTAAGGACGATTCTTGGAGAAACATATGGGTATACCCAAGAAGCAAATAGTAGCGAAAAAACACATAATAAAAAAAAACCCTTTAGTTATTCAATATACTGAAGATAACAGAATTGATCAATCATGGAAGTTATTAGATAAAAAACGATTGCCAATCAGTCAAATGACAACCTATATCATTCTATGACGATTTTGCTCTTTTTCAAATTTCAATTCCTTGACAATGCACCTCAAAAGAAACTTAAAATCACTCCAACTTCCAACTTTATGATTAGAATTAGCCAATTTTTACCCCATTTGACATAAACCAACTGCTACCCTAGGGTTCAGCACCCATGATCTTCATCCAATTGTCCTAAATCAGTACACTTTAATCAATGATTCATCCTTGAATAGCCTAAAATGGCTAAAAACACAGTTCCATACCTTTTTAACCTCTTCTTAAGCAAATTGGTAATGACAACATCAAAATGATCCTAATTTGTAAATGGGTATTCCTTAATAGCCCTAATAACTCGAGTAATTGGTATTTGGTTATGAATTTTTTTGTAAATCAGCGAGCAATTTGGCACAAATATGTCCATAATACACCATTTACAACCACAAATATTAGAATTTTTCTCTTCCTACACTCGAATCCTAATTCAACTATTTTTTAAAATCAGAGAATTTGGAAAAACATATAACAAAAATTGACCAAATCTAAGGCAATCAAAATAATTTAAATATAAAATGCTCAATAGAGAGTAGAAATTTGAACTTTACCGGTCTTTTTTGAAGCATGCAATATGATGGTAAAGAGGTTTCCATTGTTGGGAGCTCTGAGTAATGCTGCAAGCCTACTCGTATAATACAAGTAAGAAAGAGAAATAAAGTGGGCTTACAATTTCTCAACTTTAGGCCCAAACATCTTTCAGTTTAGGCCCACTTGGGGTGTTTAGATGGAACAAAAAGTTTAGTTGCACATTTGCATTTAGGGTCTGATTTATTGAAAATAATTGAGCTGAACTGAATTAATTGGGAATGAAATGGATTGTTTAGGAGAGAAGGAAATTAGAAACATAACTGAACTAAATGGCATTGACCAGTTCAGCTCGATTCAGTTCAGTTCAGTTGTTTGTAGCCTTTAGTGTAAAATTTCTGGTTACACTATTGATTGCGACTTTGCGAGGGCAATTATTTGTAGCAAAGTTTATTTTCAGATTTTTCAAGCACAATAATTTTATAATAGTCATAAAAAATGATAAATTATTTTAAAAATTGACTAACCAACGGCTTTATTTATTTATTTATTTATTTATTCCTATAAAATTAACCTAGTTTTTACATTTATTATGCACTTCAATTTTGACCATTTTTTTTCTATAACAATGGCTTGAAATTTTAATAAGTACATAAAATTGGCAAACTATTATCATAAATCTGGTTGTATGGCTTGTATCATACAATTTCTTATCATATAATCATATTACTCACTTTGCATGAATGAGTAAAGAATTTTTATTGTTGTGACTTGTGAGCTAGTGTAGTGCCGTAATACAAGTAAAGTAGAAAGACGTTGCAAATAAAGTGGGCTTACAATTTTCTTAAGAAAGGCTAGTTATTGCTCACATTTACCCAAACATCTTTAAGTTTAGGCCCACTTTGTAAGTAAGGGGTTCCTTAAGCCAAAACATATGGAGTTCATTGATGTGCTGCTACAATTCATTAGGTACCTAATATTGAACTGGCTGGATTGGTTTAAATTCCATATTTTGGACTTGGTTCTATCTAACTCCATTCAATAAGTTTAATTTGATCATTTTTGTGTTATTTAGCAAAACAAACCAAGGAAAGACCAAAAGAGTAGTGGAAATTTGATCCCTTTTTAACATATATAATATGAAGTAGTAATCACACCAAATAAAAAAAAATTAAGTGAAATTTTTTAAGAAAGTGAATTATAACTAAACACAAACTTTCATACGTGGCTAACTACGACTTTGTTCTCACTGACTGAACTCAGCTGAACTGAACTGAACTGAACTGAACTGAACTGAAATGAGCTGAACTGAAATGAATATTTTATAAGAGAAGCAAAATTAGGAACTGAACTGAACCGAACCGAGCCGAACTGAACCAAACTGAGCCGAACCGAACCGAACTGAATTTCAACGTAAGAGTGTATACCCTACATTGGTGGCCAGCCATATTTTTTTTCATTTTTTGAAAGAATGGTCGAGGTTACTTGATCAGGGGTTACTCGGTCAGTTAGGATTACTTGGTCAAGGGTTACTTAGACAATCAAGGGTTAATCAATCAGGTAGGGGTTAGCTAACCACACGCACAGTGACAAAATTTGCTAATGATTTAAGAAGAACTTCATAAGTTCATATATGTAAATTAATGTCAAGTGATGGGTAATGGAGGTTAAAAGAACAGAAAATGTAGACCATTGAACTATTTCTCTTTTAAGGCTTAGTACTATAGTAGCTTTAATGTCGTCCTATCTCTTTCTCAATTTCTGTCAACAAGCATGAATTTGATGATTGATGCTCCTTAATATTTACCTCAAATAATGCACCATATTAATCTGACAAAAGTTGCCGCAAGATTGCACCATGTGACATACACATAAAACAAATAACAAAATTGTGAGATTTTGGGAAAACTCCTCAATCAGGAGTGTGTACCATTGATCAAATATATAGAGTTTACAACTCTAGGATAAGATGATTTTCGAACAATTCTACCCAATTAGAATATTGGACTTTTTCATAATCAAGGGTTAGGGGGATCGAATTCTTGATGTTGGTCACTGTGAGAGCTGGATGGAACTCGGGTGAAGAAGGAGGAGGGGGCGGAGGCGGCGACTGGTCGTCATCCTTAGCCATGGTTGAGGGTCAGTGACGAAATCAAGGAATAAAGCAGAAGCAAGAAAAATTTTTTTTGGAAATTAATCAGGATCGATTAAAAAACCTAAAGTTGTGATACCATGTGAGATTTCGAGAAAACACCTCAATCGGGAGTGTGTAGAGTTTACAACGCTAGGATAAGGATTCCTAGATACGATAAACATACAAAATATACATTAAATATATCCTAAACTGTGACAAATATCATCCTATGTATAATATCTATCAAAAATCTATCACCGAGTTCTTCTAGAGTTGTATTTATATTATTTTTTTAATGGAAAAATACATTGATTATGATCATCATAAGTCAATTAATCAAATTAAATTACAAAAATCTAGTAATTTAAACGAATGCTTACTCTAGTACTCTACACCATGTTTAAAAAAAACAATCATGGTAACAAAGCAATCTGAGCCACAAATTTTGCCAAACTAACACATCTTACAAATATGGTTACTTTGGTCAAAGATTTATGAAGTATAGTATTGTCTTCAATTTTAGATATATGTATGTCAACAATAACTACACTTTTATTGGTTAAAAGATTGAAGATCGATATATAATATATATATATATTCTAGACATGTTATAACTACACTCGTGTACATCATTTTTCTTTATGGATATCTCTAAATACAGTATATACGGTTTTTCCTCTTTATAGAGAAAATCGAAAAATGTCCAACCATTTGAGCCGTAAGATTGAGATCACATACATTGATTAAATATGTTGTCTTATGCATGTCTCGTTGGTTTGATTAGTGAATCTCACCCACCTGCGACCTTGCATACTTTTGGAGCTTGCTTAAGCTTTGATTCTCCAAACATAAACAAAATTCAGATGTACTAAAAAAACTAAGTACAACTTAACTTTTTGTACGATAAATAGATATAGTACATTCTATTAATTTGCCAAATTAAAGCTAAATAAAGTTGGTACGTTTATTACTCAATCTTCATAGTTCATACACAAAAAAAAAAAATATGTACACATTGTACTACTGAAATTCAGCAGAAAAGCTAAGAAAGAATAAAATTAATTATTTACTTTTTAGTACAACTTCCTTATAAGTGAATCATTTTATTTATCTTATAATATAAGCAACAAACAATATATATTTTATATCATAGTATTTCATTTTATTTGAAT